TGCATTCAGTTGCACCGAGAGGCTAAACAAATTTGATTGATTCCCTTGAGTATGTACTTTGTGACTTCGTTAGTTATTTACTACTGTCTACTTCAAAATGCTTGGAAAATTTATTTTCTGACGACCATTTAGCAATTTTCGGGAAAGCTGAACCTCATCTATAATCACGTACCATTCTTGGGGTCTTTGTTTCCTTTCATGGTGGTTCGAAGGAGGATATTGCTTTGTTCCTGAGAAAAACTGGAACTTCCGACATATTTTGTTCCCAAGCATCTGTTTATCGGTGAATTGTTATGCACCGATGCACCGATTGCTTGTCACCGACCACCTTGGATGACGTACCAACTGGAGCACAACTGGAACCTGGCAATTCTAATGGAAATTTTCTCATGTCTGTCAAAATTGTACTTGCAAAAAATCAGGGTGCTGTTGCATCTGGAAGAGGCTCTGAAAATTTTGGACGAATGAGAATGCGGAAGGTCTTCCCGAAGGAAATATCGAATGAGAAAACAGTGAAGGCAGCTCCAGAGGGAAAGTTAATTAGTTTAATGCAAAAGAGAGAGAATTTTCTCTCTTGTGTTTTTAGCTCTACCAAGAGCAAATCTTTCACTGTTCGCTCTGTTAAGCGTATTCTTATGTCTCTGCGGAGAAATTCAGTAACCAATTGTCGAATTTTTCCACTACCTAATTTAAGAGTAACTTGGTCGGAACGGCTAGGAGAGGCAACAGGGCTGCTTGCCTTGCACAAGAAATTCTCCTTGCAACCCCCCCCCCGCCCTCCTAAAAAAATCCTCTGAAAACTTTAACGTCCGACTAACGGACACGAACTTCAGCAGACTTTGTTCATCATCAATTCCTACTTAATCTCTTCTTTTTCCCTTTTTGCCACGAAAACCAAAAAAAAATTATCATATAAACTGTTTGCATCAAGAACTATAATGTGAAATAAATTAAATGTGCTATTTCCTTGCTCTGTGTCAACTCGTTACAACCTTATGAAAATGCTGGTGCATAATATTTCTTCTCTTGAAATTGTCTGAGCTATATTTTGATTAATATTCAATTAATTTGTTACCTAAAAATAAGTTACAGTAAAAATTATACCTTTTCAACCACAATATCTCTTTCGGATTCATGTGTTAAACCTAAGATATTAAGTTCAAAATCTTAACCTAGAACTATTTCGTAATCCAAAACTTAAAAAGTTTTTTTTTTTTTTTTTTTTTTTTAATCTGGAACCTTTTTCAAATCATAGAAAGAGAAAACTATGTCAAAATTGTATCCTACGTGAATATTATACTGAAAATTACTGAATATTTTGAATTATTACTGAATATACTGAAAAATACTGAAAATTCACAATATTCTTACAGGTTTCGACAATCGACATGGTTTTCTCTTTCTAGGATTTGAAAAAGGTTCCAAATTAAAAAAAAAAAAAAAAAAAAAAAAACTTTTTAAGTTTTGGATTACGAAATAGTTCTAGGTTAAGATTTTGAACTTAATATCTTAGCTTAAATTTTGAAGTGTGCAACAAATTAATAATGCAGAAAACACTTACGTTTTCGTCTAAAACATTCCTTTCCTTTTATTTTTTTATTTGAGCTATCATATCCAGTGAAAACAAATCTAGCAATTATAACAAATTAGAATTCAAAGTTCTAGAAAAACGTCACATTTTAAATTCAAAGAAACTGTATATTTAAGCGGAGGTTTATATACTTTGAGGAATATTATTATGTGCAGACATGACTGCAATTCAAGCATGCTGATACCACAAGATTTATTCAAAATAAGTATTTAAAGCGTTTTCATAGTACCTTCTATAACTAGAATTTAATTTATTCAATGAAATTAATCTAGAGTTGGTGGTTGCTTGTCCGCAAGATTCATTTTGTCTTCCCTGAAGTTGCATTATAAAATTGATAGTATGTTTAAAAAGCACTAGCTTTCAGATTTCTTCATTACAGCCAGTTATAGATTACAGCCAGTTTTATAACATGGACCATTTCTGATGCTTTCATTTTATTAAACTGAAGTCTCTGTCAGATAGGTAAAAACTAAAATTATGAACCCGTTATTTTTGAAGTGAGTTTTGAGGGAATTAAGTCCATTTACGTGACAAAAATAAATTGTAAAAACCAGCAAAAAATTTGATGAGGCTAAAGGTATATCGTTAGCAATCAAGAATCGAAACTTGAATTTCTTAGGACTCTGATAAAATAATTTAACGATTTTGTAATAAATTTCTGATGCTAGAACAAATAAGTTACTTAAATTATACATTATGTTCTTTTAAAAGTTTAAGAATTAATTCTAAAATGGCAAAGTGCTGCAGAAAATAAATTTATCGCTGTTTAATCGTCTAAGCGTGTACCTTCCTTCTGATACGTGTGATACTTGTACATCTCTTGGTATGCTCACAGAAATTCTTAATAGCTTACGCTTAAAGCATTGTTTCATCCCGCCGTTACGGTCATTTGAAGTTTGCGAATACTGTCAAAATCATGCCTTGTAATCGCTTTACGAATATATATCATGTCCCATGTCTTGAAATTAAAGGTGGAGAAATAAAAGTGTGCGCTGAAAACATCTCGGATTAAACGTCGCGGGGAAAGCATAGTCTTCGAGGAGAAAAGAAAACATGGAGAAAAGTTTGCAGCCCTTTTGCAGTGGTTAGTTCTAGGAAAATATCTCCAGTTACAGCTGACTGTAGTGTATTAATAACTTATTTCAGTTGCACAATAAAAACATTTTTCAGATTTCTTACTTGGTTAGCAACATTTATGAACAACATGCTATAGCAACATTTTTTCATAAATGTGTTCGCAAAAACGAAGGCTAGAGCATCTTGGTATAAAAAATCGTCGTAGAAAAAGTGGTTAAAAAACCCTTTGCAGTTTTAAAATATCTTCATAGAAGGTATCGTGGTAAAAAAACAAAGTACCTGTAAATTATCGCATGATGATAATATCTCAGACATTCGAATGCAAACAAAGAGGTAAGAAGGTTTATCAAAAGTAAATTAAGTTTAGCTAAAGGATGCTCCGTACTTTTCCTAAATCACGAAATACTGTAGAAAGATTTATATGGTAAAGCTCAGTAACTAATTTGATTTTTAATCTCGACTAAGACAACCAGGCGGGTTCTGTTAGTCCAATTATGCAAATAACAACTAATTTTTAGGAAGGTTTAAAAAATGCTCATATTTAAAATTTTAAATTGAATAAATATACGATTTGTGCTAAGAATTTAAATTTACGCAAAATGCAGGATATCAGTTAACAAAAATATCTATTTTAAATTAATTTCTGGAGACCATAGTGCAAACAGCCTAATAAGCATTGACTGAAATTACTTTACGGCCGATTGACTTAAGCTAGCAAAATTGTTAAGGCCGGCTAACTAAATCGCAGAGCTGGGCGAGAGAATAATACTACGGTCAGCGTTACTGCCAAAATTCCTATGTCTAAACTTTCAAAAACTCTGTATTAAGTACTCGTATCTCATCTATATTTTAATGATAGCCAAAGAAAAGAAGAAATGACAGAAGAAAGGTCATAAGAAAATGGATAATTAATGCAAAATTTACTTTTTTTTACGGAAATTAAGAGCTTATTTGTTTTATTTTCTGACGCTTTGTATTACAGCAAACAAAATCCATTAGAGCAGCATTTTGACACTGGATTAACGAACAGAAATCCATGACCTAATATAGAAACAATAACAATAAGTGTGCTAATATAATTGTCATTTTACTCGTTATACGTAATTTAGGAACTTGGAATAAAACTAATTTAATTAAGTATTTTCTCTTGGAGCATATGTCAGCATTTGTGTTTTGATCCGCACTTTATTTTACTTTATTTATTTTTAAGGTATCCGAGTACGTTCTAATCATCAGTTTTGATGAAATTTATTTCATAGCTTATATATTAAACTTTCCAAAATTGCTTTTGTCTCTCCGGTCATTAGAAGAAGAATTACGGCTGTTCTTCTTCTACTCCGTGAACTGGAAGTTTCTCTTTAGAACACCCGGAAGGTGATGTATAAAGGTACACAGACTACTCTAAATAACTTTGTAGAGATATTAGGATTTTTTTTTCATATTCAGTAAAAAATGTCAGAAATGAAAAAAATTTTTACTACTAGACTAGGAACTTGAACCTAGACCTCTCGCGCCGAGTGTGCTACCGTTACACCACGAAGGCATGCAGAAAGGAGAAAGAAAATGAAAATTTTTCATTTTAATATTTTTGATGATGTTCAGAAGATGATTTTGAACTCTTCTATTTGTTATTAAGCGCTCGGGAACAAGATTAGTTTTGCAATTTAATTTTCTTTTCCTTCTATTTGTATTTGCATTACATTAAACCTATTTCTGAAAAACAGGATTTTTACAACTTTTCTCTTACGAAAAAAAAAATTTTAATCTAAGTAATTAATTTAGTAATTTTATAAAACTCTCCACAAATATTCTCTGAAATATTGGGAATTAAATGGAGTAAAAGGTTAGGTTTAAGTACATATCTAAAATATAAAATACAATTTTGTAATGAAAAGAGAGAAATTTCTCGAAAAATAGCTAGGGCATGTACTCAAACAGGTATGTTTGATAGACATTTTACTTTATGACTTACATTTCAGTCCATTTAATTTTTTACACCTTAATGAATATGAATGGCAAAAATAGAAGTAAAATATTGATAAATATTTTTGGGAACATATCTAATAATCCTAAAATTTAAGATATTTTTAACCCATAAAGTAGGAAAAAACGAAAAATTTGATGATATATTTGTCACCTGTTTCTAGCATTTTAAATAGTATTCTGATAAATAAAAACAATAATAGGTTTATTTACAATATTTTCCAAAATTTGGATGTCGAACCTAGTCGGATACTAAAAGGAAACTTATAGTTACTTTTTGATCTTTCTGCAAATGCTGTATACTAAGTTGAAAGGGAATAGAAATGCAATGTTTAATCTCACTTTTCAGGAACAAGCCGATGTGGAATGGAAGTTTGCTCGTTGCAAATTATGGATGAGTTATTTTGAAGATGGTGCAACTGTTCCTCCTCCTCTCAATATCATACCCACCCCTAAAAGCGCCTATTATCTTTTAAGATGGTTTTTCAGAAAGTTCTCTTTAAACTCTAGAAATGCAAGGAAAGAACACCTGAAAACTATTCGGGTAAGTTTTTAATTGAACAGAAGTTCCCAGAATTAGTAATAATCCTTATCGATAAAAACTTATAACTTTTATTAGTTTATAAGAGCCAAGAATAGTTAAGAAATTCGAACACATTAATCCTACTACTTTATAAATTTAAGCAATAATTAGTTTTAGCTAACAATTTATAATTTTTTAAATATAGCTAAATTTAGAAATTAAATATTAAGTTACTGCTGCTTTTAGATACGCGCTAATAATTCTAGATATTTTTAATAATGTTGGTTTTAGAATGAACATGATAGCATCAAGCTCATTAACAAGTATTGTCATTACTGAAATAAACCAAATGTGCAATTAAGTTGATTAGTATCAAAGCAACTGACAAAATAATTCCCTATTTAATCAGAAGCAAGCACATTTGAAATTGGAACATCAAAAGCTTTGAAGGCACAAGCCTGAAAGAGAAAGTAAAATTAACATACAAATTCAGAAAACTGGTGCTTTTCTAAATTGTTGGGGGGGAGATGTGAATAATTTCAAGCTGTAAGATTTAACGACCTAACAAAATTTTTTTATTCGATATAATTAATGATAAAAAATAAATTCAAACTGAAAAATTTTCGAATATAACGCTGACACTTAAAAGAAGTTTCAAATTTAAAGTCTTGAAAAGTTAAAAAAGTGTATTTAAAAATTAGAAAAAATAAAAATTCTAAATTAGATAGAAATTGCAATTTGATCTAAGTATGTAAATTTTGTTTAACTCCTGAAAGAATTTTAAGCTCAAGTACACCAAATTCACTAGTTTAAAAATTAGAAAATTTAACACACAGAATATAAAGTCTTATAAAATGAGCTGTTCAAAATGGCAAAGCTAAATGGTAGATCAAAATTGCTGTAATATTATTTTATATGACGTTAATGCGTAGACTTATGTATTTGTTTAAAAAGGAAAGACATCGTTTTTTAAAACATAGTTTTGCATTTTTTTCACCAGCCCTTTTGCACATGAAGCTTGGAAAACATATTTTCTACACTGCCAAGACACACAGTCCGCGAACTGAGAATAGTAACTGAGAAATATTTAAGTTTCCTTGGAAATTTTTAAAGATATCTTACATTTTTTAGGATCCATAACAGTAGTAAAGGTTTTTCTACATCTGTTTATGTAAAACTTTAAGATTTCATTATTATACGTTGATGTTTTATATCATGAGAGCTATAAGTGTATCGAAGAATCATTTTAATTCAATTCTCAATTTTCAGCAATTCTCATATAGAACGAATCTTGGTGAGATTTTGTCCTACATGAGGACAAAATCTCACCAATTTCATTCTATATGAGACTGAAAGCACACATAAAATAAATCTAAAATAATGCAAAATCAAAATAAAGCAATATATTATTTCAGAAGATTTTCAGATTGTACGACAGTGAAAATTGGAAAAAATCAATTAATCTGTTTAATCGTATAAAGCACTGAATTAAAAAAAATTGAAAACTGATGTATGTGCAGATGAATGAGCCATAATCACAAATGAAAGTATAACAATCTGTTATCAATCTTGAATTTCTCAAGTTCCTTCCGAAAATTCTCCGAATAAAATTTCTATTAATGAAGTTACATTTCATAGAATTTAGACTCATATTTCATATTTTTCACACTCTGTTAGAGTTTATATTCGTGATTAACACGCTTCACATGTCCATTCCGCCATCAATTAGAAACCTGCCAAGCTATCGTCTTAGTGGGTATGATACTACATCCAGGGACGGTACTAGACTTTTTTCCGCCCGGTGCAAACGCTGCAAATTCAAAATTCTGCCGTCCGATTCTTTTCTAAATTCTAACAAATTTGCCGCTCCTAAATTCTACCACCCGATGCGGCTGCATCGATTATACGTGCTCTGGCGCCAGCCCTGACTACATCGTTAATAATTTGATCCACGAGAGTATAAAATACACTCTGGATATAGCTGGATTCTCAAGATTACACTTGCTTGTGCGCCTATGAAATTATACATAATTTGTGCTATATTTAATATTTGTCTGAGGAAAACAAAGCGAATCGCAGACGTGCAAGTTGAATATGTTTTAGGTATGGTGTTTTTAGAGAGTATGATTAAGTTAGATCAAGGTCATAAAATTATAGATCATCTCCTTATAATTAGGAGAGAAACGTCACTAAATGCTATGATCAGGCAATTAGGGATACCTGAAATTTTTTAACACTCTCTGCTGGTAAAACGATTTTGCTAGAATAATTTTAATACAATATTTAAGTAAATTCAATTTGAGCGAAACAATTTCGATTGAACAGACGTTACATTTAGATGACGCAGAAAAATCGAAATTAAATCGAGATCCAGAATCTGTACACGGTACTTCGATTAAAAAGCAAATAAATTAATGTTACTTTTAGAGCAGGAAAAGAGTGTTTTTGATGAATATTTAGTTGAAAACGATTATGAACAGTGGCGACTCTTAATAAGCACAGTGGAACTGCAATACCCCCATTCCACTTATTATTGTTTTTAATATTTAAATTAAAAATGTCTGTCTTTTAGTCTTTAATTCTTTCTTTATACTTTTACAATACATAATCCTTAAGCTTAATGTCAGTAGCCATCCCCCAATAGTGGTTCTCCCCATGTGTAACGTGTATACGAGCCAGTCTCCCTTAGAAAGTCCTCCACGAAGACATCCCTTCCCTTAGGCAGGTAGCCCTAGTGTGCATTTGATTAATAATGGCCTCGAGAAATAATATCGAGTAATGAAAAGCCAATCAATATCCAAAATATAGTTCAAGGAAAACATTTTAATTAAACAAATTATGATTTTTTGCAGGAACTAGAATATATAATTATAAACAGGCAATTAAAAGTAAAATTTTTATGCATTTCTGCTTACATAGAAATAAAACATTTATTTATTAAAGAGCTTTTAAATTATATGTATACACATACATAGAATTCAAGAAATTAGAGTAAAACCATGTCATTTCTCAAATTAAAAGTTTGACCTTGTTGCTTAATTTAAAAATTTATATTCGCATAATATATTTCAAAATTGAATTCGGATCTGTGATTGATTTAGGCTTCTGCTAAGCTAATTATTTTTGCTACTTCTACCTTTAAATACATACTCGTATATTTAATGCAATGGAAAATAATCTATTATGTTGCAGATTAATTTTACGATATCGAAATGTTAGTTCGCTGACTGTATTCTTATTCATCTAATGACATAATTGCTTTATAAAAGTTGTCATAACGTATCTAAGTTGCTTACAACAAACCTTAAGCTACTAATATTAGTTTCACAAACACGCAAAACTTAATATTTGTTTGGCTCAATTTCGAATTCAAGCTTATTGCAGTTTGAGAAGCGCAGGTCTGTGGGAGCAAAAGACACATTGTTATTCTTGTTTATTAGTAGTGAATATCTCTTGTTTGTGACATTAAAATATTTTAATAAATTTATAAAAATGTTTACATTTTGTGTTTAATAAATTAAATATTGCATTAATTTGTACATTCTTAGGCTAACAATTTCTCGCATTTTACAGAGACGTGAAAAGCAAGCATGCGAAAGAGATTTTCAATACCAAGTGAGTGTTAATTTGTTTCTTGCTAATTATTGAAGATGTGAACTCAGTAACTATAAGTACCAGTGCATATTATGTGGGGGATTTTTCTCTTTTATATCTCATTACGGGATTTAAATGATTTGTTAAAAAGCATAGACGTCCATGTTAATTAATTATAGGCGTAAATGTTAATTAATCTCATTCCATTGCATTGTAGGAAAAACTATTAAATTTCCTTGGTTTATTTATTTTTATATTCCATATATACAGGGCGTCCCTAAATTTGCTGCTTAAAATTGAATACACAGGTTAAAAACTCAATAAAGATAAAGAATATCGCAATTGTACGACAGTGAAAATTGGAAAAAATCAATTAATCTGTTTAATCGTATAAAGCACTGAATTAAAAAAAATTGAAAACTGATGTATGTGCAGATGAATGAGCCATAATCACAAATGAAAGTATAACAATCTGTTATCAATCTTGAATTTCTCAAGTTCCTTCCGAAAATTCTCCGAATAAAATTTCTATTAATGAAGTTACATTTCATAGAATTTAGACTCATATTTCATATTTTTCACACTCTGTTAGAGTTTATATTCGTGATTAACACGCTTCACATGTCCATTCCGCCATCAATTAGAAACCTGCCAAGCTATCGTCTTAGTGGGTATGATACTACATCCAGGGACGGTACTAGACTTTTTTCCGCCCGGTGCAAACGCTGCAAATTCAAAATTCTGCCGTCCGATTCTTTTCTAAATTCTAACAAATTTGCCGCTCCTAAATTCTACCACCCGATGCGGCTGCATCGATTATACGTGCTCTGGCGCCAGCCCTGACTACATCATGAGAATCCAGCAAGATCTGCATTAAATTATGGTAATGCGCAGATGCAAGCACATTTCGATGCCTTCAGAACGAATGCAACCTTTTTTACGAAGAAAACAAATTCCTTTGTAGCAACTCAACTTCCCTGCAATTTCTTCGGTACCTATAAAAGGTATTAAAAACTTCGATTATGAAGGCAACCTGCTCACCCTTTCCTTATCAACTTAAGAAGTTTCAAAAAATTCGACAAATTTAATCTTTCAGTATTGGACTTTTCTGCGTTCAAAGAGGAGCAACGGAAGGGAAACGAAAACGAGCTCGTAAAGAACAATAGAACGTATCATTTGAGGTAGTAATTCGGAGGGGAAATTAATACTAGTTCTATGAGGAACGTTTTGAGACCAACGGGAGATGGTTCCTGAAAACGAGCAATATATGAATTACAGCGAGTCCACTGTACAAAGGTAATTAGGCGAAGCAGGGTAATATTATCTGAAAAGAGCTCTTTGGTTTCGCGATCAGTGTAATTTAATAATTAATAATGAGATTAAAAGTTCCTTTCTTTAATTCTTACAAAACAATAAAGGAAAAAACCATGTCTATGTAATCAAATCATTAATCAGCGTACGTACTTATGGCTATTGTATCGAAGCACTGTTAAATGACAGAAATGTAAAAATATGCTGACATGTATATTTTTCTTGTATCTACAAAACGAACAGGCACTCTGAAATATCATCTTAATACACATTTTTTTAGAATTGCGAAGTATATAAATTCCAACTCAGCTTCACATAGTTGTCTGTTTATATTTTTTCATTTGCTCCATTGGTTTTAAGCTAAACTGACTAATATTTACGTTGGATGCCAGGCTCTTTAGATAAATAAAGATATAGATAAATAAAGCAATCGAAAGCCGGAAAGGATTTGGTTTCCCTCTGCATTTATTGTTTTATTCGTGAAGCATTATAGTGCAAATTAAACGTCTTGGGTGTAACGAAACAAAACACAACTAAGCCATGATTCATGTGTTATTCATCTTTTTCTGCTTGTTTGTCATTGATGTTAATTTTGACCTGGCTGGTAGTTCTGTTCAATTTTCAAGAGTCACCCAGTTTTTTTTTTCTTTCTATACTGGTAATATCTTGAGGTATATCTCGAGTAATACCAAAAATAAGAAAACGTTCAAATCATTAAATTTATAATATTTGGAAATTTATTTTTTGGAAGAAGAGAAAGGGAGATATATGTTAACGAGTTGAATTTGAAGAATTATTCAAAGCACTTTTTGCGTTATAATGCGAAATTAATCACATGAAAAACTTTCAGTATTTTAATAAATTTAAATATCACAGTTTAATGAATATCTGCATTAAAATAGCGGAATCTGGCCCAAAAATAACAGTCTGCAGGTCACAGTATATTCAAATTTCGTCTTCGAAAAATATTTCATGTTTTAATAAAATTTAGGCAGATAAAGGAAACCTGTAACACAGACGTTCTTATAATTATGGATAACTGTAAGTTCTCCAGTCATGCGTACGTTATGATTAATTTATTATTTAACATATTAAATGCAAGAAAGTTATTTTTTACAAACCTCCGTCGGTAGAAATTTTACTGTGTCCTTAAGAGGGAAGACTGCATCTATTTTTGCCTCCTAACGCATTAAAGTTTATGTAGATGTTCGGATTAACTAACACATAAGTTTTAAAATAATTTAACAACTGAATTATATATAAATGGTACTAGAAGCAGTATTTGTATTTTACATGAATTGAACCTCAGAATGAAATAATCCTTGCACTTTGTTAAATAATAATTTCATAAAATTTTTAAGGACGTAAATGTCTTGTCTTCTTTCGTCTCACCCTTTTCCCCCTCCTGCAGAGATTTCTGGATCAATATAAATAAATGTATAATAAATATTTTCATCCAATATAAAAGATTAAAATTTAATTTTAAACAATCACTTCTTTTCATTACATTTATGCTCATTCCGCAGCATCTAAAATGCGTCTTTATTCACACACAATACAATTTATGATAAGAATGAAACGTAATATGAATTTGCTGAGAAGAATATTACATTGAATATTTTCTTGTCAATTTTCATAAATTGTTTCGTTTGTATTCATTCGCCACTCTACCTGAATACGTACACACTTAAATTCAATCGAACATTTTCATCTTTTATTTCAAATCATTTCAGTTGTGGAGAAAATCTTCAATGAACACATGACATCGGTTTTATTTTATTTCGGGAAAAAAAGTGTGAATTTACTTCTTTCAGTATGGGAACAGAATATTTAATATTCTTTCTGCTGAAAAATGGGAAAATGCTTTTTAGTTTCAGATGTGCAGCGAAAGAAAAATCATATAAATTGAATACGGAAAAAAGCTCCTCTGAGGGCAGAGTGAAGCATAAAATTATTTTCAAACTATTCTCTCCCTTCTCAATTTATAGAGCTATAGGAAACCTATTTTCAAAGAAAAAAGCTTCCTCAATAAAACTTAGCGTAGCTTGTAAAATTATTAGTATTTTTTGGAAGTATGCTCAAAATTCTTCTTCCCCTACGAAAATTCTTCTTCCCCTCCCCCTCCAATTTAAATATTACACTACAGCTTTTCACTGTAACGTAAAATTTCGACAATTAGCGAGATTAATAAATCAGAAAATTAGTTTTAAGCGTTATTTAAAATACCCGAAAAATCCACCTCCTGTGATCTAGAAAGCAGGAATATAAACATACAGCATTTTCAAACTAAAATTTAATATAACTTGAAATTAATGTAATTACATAATAGTCACTAAAAAACCAACACTTTTATCTAATTAGTTTTTGTTTGGCTTTGTTAAATATGTATTTATATTGCACGATTATTTATGTAATCTACTTCGTGTATTTAATCTTCATGAAATTTTACATACCAGTTTATTAACTTCTGTTGTCCGAAACATTACATACATTGCTCTCGTATTTATATAATTCAAAGCTTTGGGGTCATTGTTTGTATATTTAAAATGTACGAAATTTTGCATATAAGTATTTTAAATAACATTTTTTGCTTTCGCATACTTAGACTATCATGCGGAACTTGGTAAGGCGTTACGTGACGGAAGAGCAAAGGAAAGCGGATAATCAGGGAGTGACAGAAGATGATGTCAATGAGATAAAACAAGACATATCCTCTTTCCGATACGAGCTCACTGAAATCCTTAGGAGCAGTGGATTCAATACATCAGCATCCAAGGGACAAACACAAAGTATGGAAAAGCTTCTTTTAAGTCCACTTTTCTCCCCGTGAGCTTCTTGTTATATGAGGGCGGTAAAAACAAAATAAGTGATGCCGGGAAATCACGACCATGACGAATCGTTCGGGATTATTTCAGGGCAATGAACCGTTGCGTAATAGTGTGTATAAGAATATTCATTTTATGCTAAAAATTCAGTTTTACTGAAATGTGATAATAAATTGAATAAAAATGGCATAAAAATAGTGATAAAAATATCACAATTTAAAATTGGGTAACTACATATGAAGTCGTGCGCAAGAACTGTATATACTACATAAAAATCATTGTGTGTCGTGACCAATTAGTTTTTAAAAGGTCATTTTAGCAACAAAAATTTCTCATCTTTTGTATCTTCAATCTAGGAATTAATTCTAGTTAATTTTTTTGACTGCTCATTCTGTTTATTAAGGTAAGCTCAAGATTTTTTAAAAATATAGCATGCGAGAAATGACATATGCTTTGCAAAGTTACTATAATTTTATCTCACAATGCCATCACATACATGAAACTCTTTCTCGGAATAATGAAATACATATTAATTATAAATTTAACTATATTAAGAAAATTCTCTGGCCGATTTCCGTTAATCGTGTCTAAAAACGCATTTTCTGCACTTGAAGACTAACATTTCAGTATTACCGTTGTTTCAGAATGCATATTGTGAGGAATATCAATTTTTCTATTATGTCAATACAAACAGAACTGTATTATATACAGTGTGGCCAGAAAGTTCCTTTACACCTTATAATGTATATCTTCCGCTTTCCTAGCGTGCCTTCGCGGTGTAGTGGTTCTGCACTCTGCGCCTGTACTCCAGAGGTCCGTGATTCAGTTCCCGGCGAAGGCGTTGTTAATTTTTCAATCTCTCTTGCTTCTAAAAAATTCTAATGTCTCTACAGTGGCGCCCGAACTAAAAGGGTGTCGGATGAGGATTCTCCACACCCAGGATTTGGCGATTGGGTCCCCTAAACCCCAGTCGCCCTTTAAAAGGGGGAATATATAAGGTATCTCTCCCGCTTTCCTAGCGTGCCTTTCGTGGTGTAGTGATTCTGCACTCTGGTCCGATATTCCAGAGGTCCGTGGTTCGATTTCCTGCGAAGGCGGTTGATAATTTTTCATCTCTACAGCCTCCAACAAAAATACCTAATGTCTCTACAATCTGAGCTAAATGCGTGAAACAGTGTAAAGTGGTAAGGTATTTAAGATTTGAATCTCCCATTCTGACTACTGATACGGCAACAGTGATTCTTACGTGAATTTCAACGTGATTGCTACATAACTGCCCGAGGAGGAGAATAAAGTCTGTGCTTTGAACAGTTCATTGTCTGTGTGCTCGGTGATGAACAATGCCAGATACCAGCGCCTTCAGTTTAGAGGAGCACTTAGTGACAATCATCTAAATACATGGACGGAAGCCCAACGACGAAAATATGACACAGTTAATGGATAGGTTTTGAGAACGGATCGGCAAGAAGCCACCATGTCGTACTTTGATAGCACGGGAGCAGAAACCTTTGGACGGGGAACACCTTTTGGGTCCGAACTTTCTTTGATGCTTCTGTGACCCAAATTACTTATCTGGCTTCTTCCACAGCTGCAGAATTTTTGCATCCACTAGACGGTTGTTTACCAATACAGTGAGCGCTGAACACTGGTAGTTCGGTCCGAGGTTCGAATCATGGGCGTTTTCGTGGTTTTCCCCATGTGTAATACGAGCCAGTTTCCCTTAGAAAGTCCTCCACGAAGGCATCCCTCCCCTTAGGCAGATAGCCCTAGTGTGCTTTGCCATAATTAAGTAAACTAAACCAATACAGTGAAGCTCCCGCTCATTTCACACTTGCTATTTGTCTGAATGTATTGTTCCTTAGCCGGTGACTAAGACGTGTGTCCCCAATTCACTAGCATCCTTGGTCGCCTCAAAATCCGGATATTATGACACCAGACAATGTGGGGAATCATCAAATCAAGCCTTCGAGCATGTGACACCGCAGCTGTTAAAGCAGATGAGAAGGAGGACATTCAGGCGTATCATGTTACGCAGGGATAATGGTGGTGCACATTTGGACGTTTTGGACGAATAACTGTAAATGATATTTGAGTTACAACGAAATAATTAAGAGACTTTCTGGCCACCCTGTAGTTATTATCGAGAGTTATGATTATTATATTACCCATTACTTCTAGGGAGCTTCACTATGTGTTACATAAAACAGTCTTTTTTTTTCTTCGTGCGAGAAGTTGTATATTTTCCTTTAAGATTTAGTCATGTCAAAAGCGCAATAATTAACCATTTTGTTCAGACTCAGTTTACAAAACTAATCAAAATTTCTTGAAATTGTAATTACCCAGTTAAGAGAAATCTTGCATACAAGCAAGAAAATCACATTTTTAGCAAAATTTAATCGAAAAGGAAATTACCTTGGAATTTTTTATACGCTTTACTTTCATAAAATTAATATAAACATATAGATAGTTATGCTAATAACTTAATTTTTGATATAAAATTGTATACAGAAGCATTTGAGAAAAGGATTCAAATATGACAGCAACTGTTGTTGTTACAAACTGCTGCCCATGCACAGCGCTGTATATTCTTAGGTGAGTACAAATACTACCACCACTTTACTTTCCGAGAAAGTTAGAACTTGGCTCAGTCGTGTCTTGCAGTCGCAAGAGGAATAACAGCTGCGTGGAGCGTGGAACAATGTATTTTGATCACATTTTTGATTTAAGGAAATGTCTAGTTGTCTGAAATTTGGCAGATATAGTATGGGAAAAAGTATCTCATTAGGATCCACGTGTTTGAGCGGTTAATTGCTTCAGTGACGGACAATGCGTGGGGAACATCCGTCACCCCGGCCAAGCATTGATCGTATGAATGTGATTGATTATTCTTGAGAACATCTGCATTACTATCGAAGAACTCGCATTGATGCTTTCAGTCAGTGTAGGTGGTGTAGAAACCATAGTGGGAAAACATATGGTATTTGCACTACGGCAAGATGTAGAAGAGAGCAAATTGATGCGCATGCAAACCACCAGTTCTTTCTTTGGAGGTCTGAAGATAAAGAGGATGCATGTTAGAAATCGATACTGACCATTAATGAAACGTGGGTTTACTACTTTAATCCCAAGATACAGGTCTATCCACTAGAAAAGTATGCAGTTTATGGATAACGACACTGTCAAAGTTAGTTCTCAGGAGTGGATTAAACACAACTAAAAACTTCAATGAAAAAGACATGAAAATGTATCCAGAACTTTAGAAGGAAATGTAATACTTTTGGAATAAAGTACATTGAAGTGTGACATGTTCACCTCTTTCATTCAAAAGTTTTGGTTAAAAAAATCTGAAAGCTTTCAGATTTTATATTGCGCCCAGAGGGGCATTTTTTTCATTTGCACACATATACACTTTCCGAGTGCCGTTCTGAGAGTATTTAGGCTAGCGCCCTGTTGAGCTAAAAATATTTAAAAACGGCATATATTTAGAATTTCCGATAGACAGTCTCCTTGCTGAAGATAAAAACGTTTTATTCCGTACAATGATGCCACTGCTCGCTTTGAAATCGTTTAGTTTTTGAATCAAATAATCGTTAAAGGTTTAACAAAATATGAAATAGATAATAAAACAAATTCGAAATTTCAAGTGCCCATATTAGCATGGAAGATTAATGTTATTCAAAATTTGATGGTTCTAGATACCGTTAGTTTTTCGCAACGCCAGAAACATGCATACATCCATGAGACTCTTCATTATTTAATTTATTTAAATATCGTGCAAGTCTATAACATTTGATAACAACAATTTGAAAAGTGAAACGGACATTTATACTGAGCCGACGCAAAATGCCGTTTGGACTAATATCCCCTCTGGGCTAACGCTCGTTCGGTTTGAAAAAAATATCAATCCTGGTATTATTTAAATCCCCTTGTATATACAATTTAGAGGATCAAAGTGAGGAATTTACTGAAACACAAACATAGGCAAATGAGCTGGCTTTTAAATGGAAAAAGCTCAAAACTATGTTACCATAACAGAAGCTCAGAATAAATGTTTAGATAGGGTTTGTTTTAAAATATTTACAAAAATCAACTACTACTATAAAAGCATATAACAAATTTTGGATTATTAAATATTATTTGAACCTAACCCCTGGAATACGTATTATTTTAAGAAATACCTCTGAAATATTTGAGATCGCAGAAGTTCAAGTGCATACACATGATATGACAATAAAATTTGTTGAATAAGTTCATAAACGACAAAAATGTAACCTAAATCAGGAAAAAGGTTTCATATTCCTTCGAAATAATTTCCGTCATTTTCAGTGAATTTTTGACATCAAATGTACAGTACCTGAAAATTGCGGGAATAGTTCTCTCGGGATATCGCATACAGAAACTCTTTATATGAGTTAATGTCAGGAATGTCCGAAAATCATACTCATTTTAGAACTTGTTAAAGGTTAGGGAACAGAAAAAATTTCTAGACGTTAGAGAAGGAATCAAATACTGGCATCCGTGTTTTCTTAACATACACGACAGATCCTTTGCAATAAATGTATTATAGCCTTGTACATTTGGTATTCATTGTTATCCTTTCTGAGTAATAGCTTCACCTTTTTCAGTTTTTTAATCATTAAAAGAAAAGACATAATCCAACCACTTTGAGAAAACTCTTCCAATGGAGTTCCATTCATCTAGGAAACGTGAAATGCGGTACGTCACTACGAGAAGCCATAAGCGTCTTGTTTGATCATGTTATGAAATTTTTTCGCAGATTTGCCAAACTTAAAAGAGAACTGTAAATTAATATGCTGCTTTTTTACAGCAATTGCTACACCTTTACATATTAGAGTATTTCTAATAGAAATCCATAATACTTATTACTGCCACTCTCAGACTTGTTTAAATGGGTTTTGGAGTGACTTTCCTATGCTTTCGCAGTCCACGCACAACCACATTTATGTTTCCAGTGACGTCATTTCCTGTGACATACTCACTACTACATTTGTGTTTCCAGTGACGTCATTTCCTGTGACATATATATATACAATACGAATAGTGCAGGGTTCAGAAGAATGCATGACAAATATTGGTTAGAGAGTAAAATAGCATTGGAAAAAATTCCTGCAATTTAGTACCTTGTTTTTCATAAATTCCATTTCAGTAAGTTTGATCCTAAAACTGATCTACATAACATATAATAAAATTCAAATATATTACTGACTCGAAATTACACCCAGTAGATTGTGTAAAAAGGGCGGAGCTTATTAATGTGTGCATATTTTCTGTGATGCATGTATGAAAATGATCCTTAAAGCAAATTCATTATTTACAAACAATCAATTAACTGAATTCGCAGAATACACAATATACCAACATCAAGCAATCTAACGAAATTTACGGCTGCTTTAAGTTGAAATAAGAGATAAATCACTCACTGAATTTAAATGCCAAAAGGTTATGTTTTATTAATTTTGTGTATGTAACGGAATACAATGTATTAGTCATATATCTGCTGGAATATTTTTACTGTTGATTTAATAGATGGGTGAAATTTATAATGTTTCCCAATTGCATGTTCAGACTTTGTTCAGTGTTCGAAACGTGTTTCTTAAAGGCTACTTATTATATCGCTTATCAGAATTTTTATTAATTATATATGATTTTATGACATTTACAAAAGCCTCCTTTCGCAGGTGCTGGTGGGAAAAAAGGCCGACAAAAGGAACGTCGTCTTATGAAGGGATTCGACATCGGTTTAGTTGAAAGTTCTATCCAGACAACACCTGAAGTAAGTGTAGACGAAACTGGAACAGGACGATCCCCTCCTGGTCCCAAGCTAGCTAGAATAGCTAAACTTGCCACACGAAAAGCAAAGCGGGGTAAATGGAGCCATCTAGTAGAGGCCACAAAACACGCTAGGGCTGCATTCTCTCGAAGTCGTAGCGATGAGTCTCTCAGCAGTCAAGGCAGTTCGGAACACCCCAGTCGTATGGAATGTTCAAGCCGCAATGGCTCGAGCAGTAGTAGTGGCGGTGGCCCTGATAATATAGCAGAACCCCGACCAGCTAAAAGTCTTGTTGACCTTCCTGTTATCAAACGTTCTATTTTCGCAAGAAAATTCGCCATTAGCACATCAAAACTGAGACTTGCTTTTATGGACTCAGATAAGTCTTCGTCTCTTGAAAGTCATCCTGGTGGATGTTCTAAGAATAAAGTAGGTGATAGCAGCGCAGATAGGGGTCAAGCTCAAAGGACCGTGAGTGCACCTTTCAGCCAATGGCTGGGAGCAAAAAGCACATCCATGGATCATTTAGGCAAAGGTATCTCGTCTGCTGTCAGTCACCATCACCATCATCATCATCATCAAAGTTTGTCTCCCGCCAGGAGTTTGTCTCCAATACCTAGTTGTGCAAGTTCTAATGTGCCTACTCCAAGAAGTTCCATCACAGGACAACATGATGCGTGTTCTACCATGGATGTAAATTCACAAAAAGGATCCATACCCGGAAGTCCGGCTACTGGAGCTGATTTACAAGAACAGCATCAACAAACTACAAATTCATCATCGTCCAAGGTTTTTGTGCCAGGAAGTTTCGGAATAGAAACTGTAAATTATCCACCAACCGCTGGCTGGATATGAACGGCGTTACGAAGTCCATGACAATTGGTGCTTTGACTCTCTTAACATGTTAAAGTAATGCGAACTTGGTTCACGCATACAAATGACAGGGTGCTCATCTAAAACAGATCACCCTAATTAAGTTTCCTAGTCTAAAATATTAAGCAACACTACGCTATATTTTGACAGAAAAAAGAAATATATATATATACATATACATAACATTATTGCGCAGCTATGCTATTTTAAATTCAATAAGCATTTTAATATTAGTTCTTCATAGTTTTAAAAGGCGTAATTTTCTATTATATTTCAGATTTATCAAACAAATACCAAATTTGAATTAAAGGTAACTTCTGATGTTGTATTATTTATTTACTTTTTAGAATTTCAATCTTCACACCATTTATCTGCTTTTGATTTGGTAATCATAAATTTGTTGGGGTTTTTTAAAATTATGCAAATATATTGCTAAATATTTCACTTTTACTACTTTTAGATTACCACTTATCAAGCTTTTAGATTTAATTGTGGTTCCTATCTCAACGGAAATATTTACTTGCTATGTTAGCTTATTAGTTCCTTTATTAAAAACACATTCCGTCAAACATTAATTGTTAAATACTTGCTTTATTCAGAAACATTACCGTCAACATTACTGCTCAAAAACATTACAGTTCAAATTATTATCGTTCTGAAAAAAAACTGTTGTTGCCAATCGGGAAAATACATTTTAAATAAAATTAATACGTTGCGTTTACATTCGGGCATCCTGACTTAGTTACGACCTCGGAACATTAAGAACTTATATTTAAAAAAATTAAATCTGTAATATTAATGTTTATAGTTCGAAAGTCTTTAGCTGTCATATAGATTCACCGTCGTTTTCTATTCTTTTTCCGTGTCCTAGTTTTAGTAATATGCGGCGTGTTGTTATCGTTATCCCCAGTCACACTAATGTCATCATCACCATCATCATCGTCTTCTTCTGATTCAGCTTGACACTGCCATGACTTTAATTGGCTCACATGAGCTGTCGTACTAAAGAAATGTCCTTTCACCTTCTCTTCTAATTGAGTCACTCTATAGGTATCACTTGGTAAAACTTCTGTAACTACCAAAGGTCCTCGATACTTTTGTTGTGTTTTGGTTGATTCTCCAGTTGATTTAGGTACTACTCTTCTCATAACTTCTATTTCTCCTCGTTCGAATGTTAAAGAATTGCTTTTCTTCTTGTCATAATTTGCTTTCATTTTCATCTGCATATCTTCAATTCTCTTTCTAGCTTCATTCTGTAAGATTACTGGATTCTCCCATTCATTTGCGTCTTCATCTGTAATCATCCTCATCAATCCGTCGTTAAATTTTGGTGAATAACCGTGAAGCATTTCGAAAGGAGTTTTATTTGTAGTCTTATTTATCATATTGTTTAGATTTCTTTCGCATTCCTTAATCTTTTTGTCCCAGTCTCTCTGATTCGGATTTTCCATACTCGTTTTAATCGTAGCCAAAATTGTTCGATTTGCTCTTTCCACCATTCCATTACCACTTGGATGTTGAGTTGAATTGAGTGTATGACTGATTCCATTATTTTGACAGTACTCTCGAAATTCCTTCGCTGTGAAACATGTTCCTCTATCGCTGATAATTTTTTCTGGTAACCCAAAATCATCTACAAAACTCTTCAATGCAACTAACACATACTTGGTTGCAGTACTTTTCATAGGATATAAGCGTGTAAATCTCGTAAAATTATCAATTATTACAAATAATTCTGTATTTCCTCTTGAACTTTTTACGAATGGTCCTAAATGATCTATATGTATAATTGCAAAAGGTCTTCTACCAGGTCTAATTGGATGCAGTACTCCTTGTTTCTTACCACTAGGCATTTTATTTACTAGGCATTCGAAACACATCGAAATGTGACGCATAACATATCGTTTCATTCCTTTAAACCAGTATGATTCCTTGATTTTGGCAACAGTTCTGTCTGTCTGCTGAAAAATGTCTGTCCCAAAAGATCGTGAAATTTTACTACAATACCTTTTCTCATCGATTTAGGTATGACATATAACAATTTCTCCTTTTCCTGATCTTTCACTTTACGAAACAATCGATTATTCTTCAAGACGTAATTTTCAGTTACATATTTCTCTGCATTCGTTCTATCATTTATCTTTTTCTTTAAAATGTCTATTAATTTGCGTAATTCTGGATCTGAATGCTGAATCATAAGAATTTGTTCATCTATCGTTAGCGTTAAACAAACTTCCAAGTTGTTTTCAATTATAGAGTCTAAAGTTTCTTCTGGCTGATCAACTGGCGATCGGCTCAATGCATCTATGTGACTCATTCTTTTGCCTTGCCTGTGCTTTATTTCAAGATTGTATTCCTGGATCAGATTACTCCACCTTGCTATCTGAGGATTTGAAGTTTTCTTCGCGTTTAAATAAACTAAAGCTTGGCAGTCTGTAATTACCGTAAATCGGATTCCAATTAAAAATTGTCGAAGTCGTGTCAAAGTCCAAACTATAGCCATTAATTCTAATTTGCTTGAATGATAATTCTTTTCTGTTTCTGTTGTTCCTTTACTTACACAATAAACTAAATGCCACTTTCTATCTTCACCTTTTTGCAACAGCATTCCTGCCAGTCCTTTGTTGCTCGCGTCTGTGTGCACTTCAGTCTCTGCTTCGGGATTATATAATGCTAGTATTGGTTCATTAGTTAAATGATCCTTTAAAGTACTGAATGCTTCTTGCTGATCTTCGTTCCAACGAAATGTTTCATCCTTCCTCGTCAGTCTCGTTAGCGGCTCAGCTTTCTCTGCGTATTTCGGTACAAACCTTCTAAAGAAACTTGTAAGACCTAAAAATTGTTTAACTTCATGTTCATTGGTTGGTTTAGGAAAGTTTAATATGGCTCGTACTTTTCTTGGTCCAGGTTGCATACCATTTGATTTTATTAGAAATCCCAAATACTCAACTTCATCTTTTCCAAATTCGCATTTTGTCAGTTTCAATGTCAGCATTGCTTCTCTCAATCTATCAAACACTTTCCTAAGTTTTTCCATCATTTCTTCCCAAGATTTAGCCGGAATTAATATGTCGTCCAAATAGCACAATACTTCTTTATTAAGCAATGGACCTAAAACTTGATTCATAAGTCTCTGAAATTCTGCAGGTGCATTAGCTAACCCAAAGATCATACGTTCAAATTGACCAGTATCATCTGGAGTGATGAAAGCTGTTTTCAGTTTCGCTTCTTCAGTTAAAGGAATCTGCAAATATCCATGAGCTAAGTCCAATGTAGTGAAAACTTTACACTCACTAAGACATTCAAGAAGATCATCTATCCTAGGGAGTGGAAATTTATCTTTAACAGTTTGCGAATTCAACTTTCTATAATCTATCACTAATCGTAATTCACCTGTTTTTTTTTTCTTTACGAGTAAAACTGGACTAGCATACGGAGATCTTGTTTCAGTAACAATTCCATATTTCTTCCATTCATTTATTATCTTCTTTATAGAAGCACGCTCTTCGGCATTGGTTTTATACGACTTCATGCAAATAGGCTTACTCCCTTCAATTTCTTTAATATCCATTTTTGTTAAGTTTGTACACCCTAATTCCTCCATATTTAATGCAAAACAATCTCGATACTCATTTATCAAATGTAAAACTTCCTGTTTTCTTTCTGGCGTAAGTATTGTTATTAACTTTAATTTCTTCTAAAGTAATCGGTCTCCTAAACTTCTTAATTTCATTTATTATCAGTATTTCCTTTTGACTTGAATTTTCAGTTTTCTGATCTGAACTTGGTTCAACTAATTCTGCTACTTCCGCTCTACCGATACATTGATTCTCTTTCAAAATTAGTTTTCGATCGCTGTAGTTAGTGACTGGTATCACTGTTTCTCCCTGTATTACTTCCAATAATGAGCCTAACTCATCTTCCGATCCACTTATTAAAACATAACCGTTATTTATTTCATCAGTTTTAACTTTCACGAAATTAACCGTATTACTTTCGATTTGAGTTTCTTGGGAAGCCTTCAGTTTAATTCGCGGAGTGTTGCTATCATTTTGCAACTGTGAAAATGGGCAGTCATTAGCATAGCGTATGTGCAAGGTATTACCTATCTTGGCGTATGCAATATGCGGTAAATCAATCCATGTTCGACCAACTAATAAGTCGCATGGTTGCGTTTCATCTCCTACAATTAGAACTGTAATGTCCTTTCCTTCCACATTATCAATCTCTAAGTTAACAGTTACTTTTCCCAATGTTCTAGCGGCTGGTTTATTCTGGTTCCCAAAGCCAAACAATTCCTCCACATCAGGTTTTACAATAAGATTCAGTCTCTTAGCCGCAGACTGTTTCAATAAACACGAACTAGAACCCGTATCTATGATTGCAGTAATTTCTTCTCCATTATTGATGCGAGCATACTTTAAATATACAGCTGGTGAAACACCTGAATTCTGGTCCACGGATAAATTATTTTTAACATTTGTCAAGTCTGGATTCTTAGACGTACACTTTTTAAAAGTATGACCCTTTTCATTACATTTCCTGCAAATAATTTCTTTTTTAGGCTGAGGACAATCCGTCGCTATATGTCCATAATCATTACAATTGAAGCATTTCGGCTCACCCTTTTCATTGCGGATGCCAGAATTATATTCCCTTTTCCTTTCGTCTGTTTTATAAAATTTATCTCTCAGATTGTATTTATTATCAAAACTGTTTTTTAAAACCCACTTTGAAATTACCATCTGTCTGCATGGAATCGTTAACATTTCTTTGTCTTGAATACTGATTATAGGATCCTTCATAAAATTTAGAACCAGATTTGGGCTTAGAATTATGCCTAAAAGTTTTATTTTCTACTTGAAGTACTTTTATCCCTGCCCGAATATTTTCATATTCATCTAGTTTTTAGTTTTTTCAGCCAACTCTTCAGGATTAATGAATTTAGACCAATCATCAATGAAATGGTCTCGGATAGCAGCGGGGACCCTCTTCTTTAATTGATCAGTAATAATAAGTTGTTTTAAAGAGTCAAAATCTGTTACATTTAATCCAGCAAGCCACTCTTCAAAATAATTTTTTAATTCAAACGTGAAGTCCTTCCACGTATTACGCAACGTTTTAATATGATCAACGAACTTTTGCCGAAACTGTTCAGGGCTTAACTTAAATTTTCTCAGTAGCAGTTGCTTAACGTGCTTATAGTCGTTAGCTTTCTCTTCTGATTCACGGGCAATTAATTGAGTTATTTCATAAGGCAATAGACCCAACAGCTGAGAAACCCAGTTTTGTTCTTCTAACCCAATACGTCGTGCCTGTCTCTCAAATAAAACTAGATAAAAACTTATATCACCTTCATTCAAATCATACTTATGCATTAATTTACTCATATCACAAATATTACTTCTACTAACATTAGAAGGAACAGAATCATTT